TCTTTGGGCCCAAATGCCTTAATATATGAGTCCTTAGATCCCTAGGGTAGAACTCGTTGTAAAACGAAAGGGCTTATGAAAGCCCCAAGCCCCAGCCCGCCTCGGATGTATCCATCGGCATAGGTGTCGAAACTCAGGCAGCCTCGATCTCATGGCTTGGGACTCCAAAACTACAGGTTTGCAAAGGGTTTCTGTGAGGTCCTGTACAATTTTAACGGAGCAGGGTTTTTGTGAGGTCCTTTACAACTTCTAGGGAAGCTTCGGGACACAAACGTTCTCCAATGTTCATGCGGGTTTAAGGTTCCAAGGGCCTCCACAACCCGTCGTAGTTGGCTTTGTAGCTTGAAAGAAAGCTGCTTTCAGGCTGCAGGGCTTCAGGTTGAGGGTGTAGGATTTAGGGCGAGCTAAACAAGAGCAACAGAGTCATATAGGGTTTTCTGCCAGAAACGCTGCTTTGTTTGAGAAGCCGCTCGGATTAGAAGACTTTGCTATCTGCTGGACGAGAAGTTGAGGAGTCGGAAATTGAGCCTAAGTCCAAAACCCTAGTTCAAAACCCTAAACATCCTATACTGCAAGGGTTAGTTGAGGAGTTCTGCCGGGAAGACGGCATGGCTGGGTCGGGGCTTGGCCTGAGTTGGGGGTTGCTTGGTTTAGGGTTTAGGGTTTAGGGTTTAGGGCTTAGGGTTTAGTTTAGGGCTTAGCGTTTAGGGTTTCTGGGCTTTCGGGTTCGGTTTACTTCTCGTGTTCCTTCGTCCCATTAAGAACCCTAACGGCTCTGGAAGGTCGTATATTGGGGTCCACTACTTCCAGCCAAAGCATAAAGCGCGACGATTATACCCAACACCCACACCCCAAAAAGGATAGACGTATTTGAGGCTTAGCTCTGGCTTCTTGATGGCCCGAAGTCTTTGCGTGACTTTCGCGTGCGTCCCTGCCGAATGCTTCGATCCCGCGGCAAGCCCAAAGCTTTAAACGCCGAATAGGAGATAACATCTGAACCCTAAACCCTTCACACTTTGAAAGGAACCAGTAAAGCCCCCCAAATCCAGACTTTGTTATACAAGCGGCGCCCCTTCTTGGACAAAACGTTCGCCCAAGACAGCTGCCTCGGACAGCTTGGTGGGCATTGTTGGATTCGGGGGCTTCAAAACGCTTCCTATACAGCGTACTATAAGTTTATAAAGGCTTCCATTTTTTGGGGTCGCGGTTTCGGTTCTTGCTCTGGGTTTTCTGGGCAAAATTGAAGCCCCTTATTCAAGCGTTTGCAAGTTTTCTATCAAGCTCATCAACCAGGTTTGTGCACTGCGGATGCCACGGTGCAGCCTGTTACATTCCACCACACTCCCCTGCTTAAAATACTATAAACCCCAAAACCCTACTCTAGTCATTAAGACCGATATATAATTAATATAAACGGGGTAAGCCCCTACCTCGCGACCGCGATTTGTTGACCGGGACTGCAGTTGGCTGACGGGCCCGACCGCGAAGATTTTCAGGGTCTCCGGGATTTGGGAGTTTGGGTGAGGGTATAAGGTTTGGGGTTTATAGTCTCTGGTGAGTGTATACGGTTTGTGGTTGATAGTTTCTGCGCTGATCCTCTACGGCTGAAGGAGGAAAACCTGCATTGCTTGAAGTACACTAAACGTCCATCATATGAACTCACGAGCAGTGCTAACCGTGCGAAATTCGCGACCCTAAGCCCGAAAGCTCAACACTCTAGCGATTTCTCATTTAAAGCCAAATTTACCACTCCCGTGAGTGATCTATCCAGTTTGCATGCAGGTTCCACATGCCGGGACGGAGCGTGACCTAGTTTCGCAGAGGACCTAGGTTGGAAAACCCGTCCGGGCACTGCGTGTCGCTGTAACAATCAACTCCTGCGCCATCAACCAGCCAATCCAAGTCTTATCCCGTGCGTCGTACCAGCGCAGTGAGGCTGCGCAAACAACGACCAAGCTCTGCAGCTAGCAGCTTAGCAAATCCTCTTTCAGATTTCAAGAGCTGTGGCTTGAAAGAGGCCTTTCCACCTACCTGTTTTCAGCACCAGCACAAGGTTTGACAGGCAACAGGGCCTGGGGAACCTAGAGAGACTAATGAAGATACGGAAATATTTGGAGAAGGCTGTGGGGGAGTTTGGCACATGTTGCTCAGGAACCTATACTCAATCGAATCGTAACTAACCCTGCTGGGAGCCTCCAGGTGGGGCTTGGCTTGTGGAGTCGTACCCTGTGCCTACCACCATTGAAATCTCAACTCCAGGCAAGCATTTGCAACGCTCCCTCTGGCAGTCCTGAACCAGACCAAAAGCCAGCAAGCAGGCAAAACGACACACGGGGCCCCGTCATGTTGCGCGCCCTACAGAAACCGCCCTTCTTGAAACCTCGGAGACCCATGGTTCGATGATCCGTGGGATTGGCGGCTGACCATGTGCCAAGGTTGAGTGTTTGGCCACGATCATACTTTCACCTTACTGCCCGGCCTTGAGGTTGTTTTTACCTTTAATATTCACCTTGGAATCCTTCTATAACTTCTGGAGTCAC